AATAAATTAGTTTTAAAAAACTATTGATGGCCCGACATAATCTGATTATCAGTTACATAACAGCAAAGGTGTCGTCCTTGCAAGGATGGGTTTTAATTGACAACCAATTTGAAACACGTTTTAWAAATTTAGAATAAATTAATCAAATCTCGGTTAGGTAAACCGCACATTTTTTTAATTCCAGACATTTATATCACCGTATCATTGTACCGTGAAGTTCAGGGTTAATTTCAGCTCTGACCCTGACACTCACAAACTGGTTAAAATATAAATTTTWGGAGAAAAGTCAAGTTTAATAAAAGGTGCAATRATTCAAATTATACGCTTGAGCAGTGTTGGAATTTGTCAGAGAATTTTACTCTGAAAAATTAAAAGATGAAACCTTTCACGATTTGATAAACCACGTCCTAATTTAAATAAATAACATGATCTGTGGCAGTGGTTCGCTTGAAGGCGCGTTGACTTCGTGAATAATTCTTGGTATTTTTTTCCCAAAAGCTTTGYTATTTTAAAAATAAATTAACTAATGTACGGCAAMCCTACTTTWCCAAAGTTGCGTCATCTCGTTGCATGTCGTCTCGACAATCCTGACACACAAATATGTTACTGTGTTWTGRGCACAGTAAAATAAAATTTAAATTYATCATCAGATCCAAAAAACAGTACAAATTAGGCATTCATTTATCTTAAAAATGCAATTGTTTTGCTTCCTGTAATTGTTTATGATTTATCGCTTCTGTTAAAAACCAATATCGGAACTGTGTCAGATGCAATCTGGAGTTAAAAACAAGTAAAGTATCTACCTACAATTGGGTATAAATAGGCACACATCTCTTTTACAATGCCGCTTACRAGAGTGAAAGTTTTTACTCTCCTTTCGATTTGATTAATAAATSTTTATAAAACTGATAAATCATCCAATTAGTCAAAATTAATTAAATTAAATTTGCTTATTAGTGGTTGTTCGWAAGAATTTTGATTTTAGGTCATTAGGTTTGATGATGATGCAATTAATTAAGATGGATGTCATTTGGGTACAAATTTGTTTAATTGCACAAGTTTAACATTGAGTGGCAAAACATTATTTGATATAAGGTGTAATAAGAAGAGACATCTATTGCACATAAACTATACTTTCTATTTATAGGAAGACGATARAGATGTCYCTACGATCTTAAATTTTATTGTGGTATTAACAAACAATTGTATTTTTGTACGTAAATATCAARTTTTGAATGAAACTGAGAAAGGGGGAATAAAGATGTCGTGGGTTCGTGTCTTGCTCTTTCATTAAAATATTGAATTTATTATGATTAAAACTTGATAATGATAACACTATAAATATTATCAATTTCTTCAACAAATTAATTTAATAATTAATTAATTTGATAATGACTGTTTATATCAGATAATCAATGTGTGTTTTTAAATTCTTTTAATATGTTTACCAAGAGTTTCAGCTATTTCTGAAATTGCGGTCATGAATAACTGCTACCAGCTCATCAGCATTGCCGACTAGGATAATCAAACATTTTCATTACATTTATTTTTATCCATATTGAGCACGACTTTTTTGTGAGAAAATTTACTTAATTTTATTAAAATTAATTAACTTAATTTAAAAAAAAATTAAAAATATTTTTCAGCTTAATACAAAAATAAATTATATTTATAAAATTCAAGTAATTCTTTTTCTTTAGTCTAGGCGTAGGGTGACAACAGAGTTGTTTATTATCAAATCATTTAATGCTTATTATGTAGATGTAAAGAAATTAATATTTTTTATTAATTTTGTTAAAAAATGTCCTGTTGGAACTGAAGGTATGTTTTACTGCCGGTGAAGAAATATCATAGACACAAAGATAATAACTCTTTGCTTCATTAACTTTGTACAATTGTTTTAAAGATCGACATAAAAACTAATAGATAATTGCCTTTTCCAAGGTAAAATTCGATCTAATTGTGAGTATAAAGCTCTATCACGATTAATCAGTTAGAAATAATCGGTTAAGGTTTTCTTGTTAGGAAAGCAGAGGAATAAAAGATGTGACTTAACCAGCAATTATAAAATGTACTCGTATTATCAATTAAATAAAGTACATTTTAATGATAATATTAACAAAATTTGTCAATTTTTTTCTACGTATGATGACGTTTTAATTTATTTTTTACACACGTGCAAAGAATTATTATATAAGAGCAATTAAAATAAAAACAAAGCATTTATCTACATTCTAGAATTAATTTAATAAGTTTGTAGTGTAAATAGCATATTAAAATTTAATATTCTTTACATCACATGCCGTATTCGAACAAATGAATTATTTTTAACGTTCAAACCTCAGGCCATATATCTAATCCATTTAATACATAATCTGTAAAAAAAAATTGCATCCTTGTGAATGTCGTAGTAAATCTGATCCCTGTGTCACCTCTATCATCGATGTTTACAAACATGCTGAGGTTTACTAATTAGTTCCAGTTGAAAGGTTAAGCTTATTTAACCGCAAAACAATGTTTTATAAAAATTGAATTATTACCATAAGTAAAATAAAACGCGACTGTTAAGTCTTGCACGTAATAAAGCATTTATTTTTATGAAATAATATAATACATAGGAGATAAATAAAAATAGAGAACCAAATCGTAAGCAGTTTACCATCGAGGATTGCTGTCACCGCGATAAAATTTCCGTTGTACCTTGCATCCGACATAATATGTACATCATTTATTACATAACTTATCACAGAAACTTATTTTATGATCATATCCAAGGTCGACAGCAATGCACACATCAAACATCGTCAAATAGGACCTATTTTCGCCTTCCCGCTCTTTCGGTGGTCGACGGCTGGGACGCTATCCAGTCGAGCGCCCTTTGGATGTTCGGCGGGATAGGGGGTGGCGTGGGCAGATGCGCCCCTTGGGGTTGGAAGCCCCCCTCGTCGTCCGCCACGTACGTGATAGAGATTTGGTTTCCCTCAGGATCGGTGTACGAATACGAGCCTTGAGCGACCACCGCATCCCCGTTTTCGGGGTCTTTGGACTTCTTCAGCGTTCCGGTTTCCTGGGCTTTGATCCCGTTTTCCGTCTCATAACTGCAAAGAAATTGCGTTATCCAATTTCAACACGGATTCCTACAAATGACATTTCCATACAATATAACAATGTTGTGTGATAAGCATCTTTATGCAATTTTGAGCTTATTATTTTCTGGGATTCAACAAACGACCTTTAACTTTCTCCGGATTTTTCACCCTGAATAAGAAGAATATCCACGAGAATWATTGTGATAGTTTTATTACTTTTCGTGATGAATAATTTACATGCATTAATAGCGATGTCGTGCACTTTCAACTTAATTAACTTATTTTAATTTAGTTTTGGGGTTACCTCCATTCGTAGCCGCCGTCGGGTAAAATATCGTTGGTCTGACTTATGATTTTTATTTCCTTTCCGGGGGTTTGTCCCACCTGGGGGGCGCCGCTCGCCAAATAAAGCCATGTCGTCAWAAACAAAACCTGAACCAAGGTTTGAAAAAATACATTTAAAAATCAAATAATTTTTGTATAAACGGTGAATAAAATATAAATAGTAATAATAAAAGTAGAGAAAAGTGGTGGATGCACTTACGTTGGTCCAGTCCATGGCACGGTGGTCACTAACCAAATGACAACAAAACAATATTTAAAACACCGATTGTTGAGTCTTCTTCTATTTATACTACCACATGTATGTGTTGGGTGTTATTACTTCCCCCTTCAATTGCATATCGAAGACGTTTATTACAACATTTGTAAATGGCATCATGCTGCGTCTTCCCACATCGTTATAATCTGTCATTGTTTACCTAGAAGTGCGAATATTTGCTTGGTCCATTGTAACTCACTGTACGCAGTATATTTTACTTTTTTCTAAACAATGTGATGAATCTTTATGTTGTTTTACTGCTGTATTTCATTATCGATGTTATGTGTATGACAATAACAACCTAAGTCATTTAATGAAATAAAATGAATGAGATTACGAGGGCAAATTTATTGAAATGTCTCAAAAGCGACGAGGTTAGATCAGCAGCGCTTTCTCAGATACGAGCTGCGATAACAATTTACAAATATGCAAATTTCATTACACTAGTAACAATTAAGATAATTTAATTAATTTTCCTCAAGAAACCATTTTTGCACGATCATCTAATTGAAAAAATTAATTATTATTCTCCTGTATTTTAATAGTAGGATGTAAAATGTTACTTCTGGACCAGGATATTTGGCGCCTTAAAAACAG